GGGTGGGGGAGAAAGTTTGGGGGTGAGGGGAGGGAGAGGGAGAAGGGACTTGAAATAAGCTTGTTCCCTAACTAGAACTAATAAAATAAAATTTAAAAAAAAACATAAAATATCATCATTGCACACTGAAAATGAAGCATGTGAATAAAATGGAGTATATCAAGAAATGTGTGACAGACCAATTCCCGTGGAGGGTTACTCTGTCAGCCAAAATCAGGGAGGAGGGCATAGGACCTCCCCCAAATGATGTAACAGACCTTGATCATCCGCATGGAAGGCCTTACCCTCCCTAGGGAGTGGATAGAGCATGGGATAGGGAGGTCAGTAGGGGTTAGGGGAGGATGGAAGGGAGGGGAACTGTGATTGATATGTAAAATATGATTGTTTTCAAATTTAATAAGTAATAAATTTGTGAAGCTTTGAAATTATATATCACCTTAAAAATTCATGTGCTGAGCCTAAGACTCAAGGTGGCTTCATTAATAAATGAGACCTTTAGGGGAGATGCTTGGTACATGAAGCAACCCTCAGTGTGGCAGTGTGTGCTCAACTCATAGGAGACAATGAACTATTTCCTTATCATTAAGGATCAGTGAGCAAGTACATGGCTATTAGGGAGTTAGCATAGACCATTTTGTGTGTTTCCTTCTTCCACTTAATTAGGATTCAGAATTCACACCTGTGAGAATGGTAAGGATTCAGGCATTGAGCTAGCCTGCTCCTGTCATCTGGCAGAATGCATTCAGGCAATACCCTGATCAGCCTAGGATTCCATCTTTGATAGTCTGCATACAGGTGGAAAGGACCCCTTTAAAAGACAGACACAGGACTTTCACACTTGTCTCTTTCCCCCTGTTCCCCTGGAGCAGAAGGGACTTTTCCTGTCTCACTCTTCTCTGTCTACTTTGTCTCTGTGTCTCTATGGCTCTTTTCCTATTTTTCTTCTGTCCCTTCCCTTTCTAGTAAAACTTCTCACTAAGCTGTCTGTCTGGCATGTTTTTCCCCATCCTAGGTCACCCTCACCTAACAGGGAATTCTCTAAGCTTCTCCTAGTGCTTTATAGTAACAAGAATTCCTCAGCTTATATGTATTTGTTTTCTATCATGAAGAAATAGAGCAAAAAGAAGGCAAAGAAGGAATGAGCCCTCAGGTAACTTAGGATCAAATTGTTGGCAATTTTAATTTAGATGACCAACTTTCTAAAATCTGATAAATAAATGTCTGTTTTCTCTACATTTTATTGGTGCTTTGTCATAAGACAGATAAGATAAATCATCACATCATGAATGATACTTTTGAAATTTTTGTCAAACAATATGTGCCTTTTTACTCCTGATATCATGTGTGGAAGAGAAAACAAGATAAGGAATATGACTGTCATTTTAAATCCTGGATATGTGGCTGGCAATAATGAAACCAGTCCAATCTTGTGAGTGACTGATGTGGAAACTAATAGGTTAGTAGATTTAAATAACACTTCCACTTGAGCAGCTATGCTACTTAGGAAACTTGGCATCCATACTTAAGGGGCATGCATCCAAACACTCTTAACCCAGTGTAAAAAAAGCATACTGATCTCTCCAAGCTAGAGAGATTTCTTTAAGAGTTCCTTTTGTCATTGGTTGCTGTACCACCTCCCATTGAAATCTGCCTGTGGCTTTTAAATGCCAATGAAATCCCATGGGTACTAAGGATGTACAACCCTGAATATTCAAGCATGCCAGTCTCCCAAACTGAGTACCACTTATTATGTAAAAAAATAAAATTATGGTGACTGTGCTTCATTTAATATTAATATTAATAATAATATTAATATACATGTATATTTAATATACATGATTTTTGTTAACTAAATAGATTCATTTAGTGTTTTACCCAAGTTACCCTCCCACCGCCATCCAGAGCTGCCATGTTCAATTTAACTGAAAAATTACTCATGTCCATGAGTTTTTTCTTCTTACATTGCCCATATGCTTGTCTGTTGTTCATAAGCTTCTTTCTACACTTATGAGCTTTCATCTTAACTTGCTAGGGTAACATGAAGAAAAGTGAATAAATTCATCAATATCTTGATTGAAGGTTTGTGTAGGCAACCCCTGATGTTTTATACACCATAATTTAGGTACATGTTTCTGAAAATAATCTTTCGGTTTGTTTGTTTCTGCAAAAAAAAAAAAATGTTTCATAGACTTGCACAAAAAGTGGGTTTCTGGTATGATTCATCTTTCTGCCCAAAGCCCCCGAGCCCCACTGCCACATGTGCACTCTATGCCAGCTGCTTGCCAGAGTTAGGGCCCAAATTAATACACAGAGAGACTTGTATTAGGTTCAAAGCTGCTTGACCAATGACTAGGATTCTCATCTGGTAGCTCAGTCCTATATATCATAAATCTATATATTTTATAAGACTTATCTTACCGGATGCCTTATTGGCATCCCTCCTTGCCGGTGGATAACATTGCTCCACTGGAGGAAGAGCGGAGGGGAAAAGGGGACCCTTCCTGTTTCTCCTTGCTAAATATGAGTCTCCTTGCTATGTCACTTCCGGCCCGGATCATCACTTCTCTACTACATTTCCCAAAATCTTCATTAACTCCTAGTCCTGTCTAACTTGCTGTTTCATTGGCCAAACAGTATTTTATTTAACAATCAATAAGATAAACATACACAGAAGTACTTCCCCCATCAGTGGGTTTTAAATGTAACTCAGTAACAAGAAATATCAGAAAAGTCTGAATCCAAGTATCATGAGTCTCTGAAGTGAGAAATCAATGTCAAGAGGATTTTGCTTCCCAAATGATCTTTCTGAATGCACCCTTTACATCTTTATTCCTCAGGCTGTAGACCAGAGGGTTCAGCATGGGAATGATCATGGTGTAGAACACAGAGGCAATTTTGTCACTGTCCATAGAGTGACTGGAACTAGGCTGCGCATACATAAAAATAGCAGTTCCATAGAAAATGGAGACTGCAGTGAAGTGGGAGGCACAGGTGGACACAGCTTTGTGATGTCCTGCAGTTGACTGCATCTTCAGGATGGTGACAAAAATGAATGTGTAGGATATCCAAATAACTATGAAGGCAAAGAATATGTGGAAGCTCACTATATAGACAAGAGTCAGCTCACTGGCATGTCTGTCAGAACAAGAGAGAACCATGACTGCTGGGATATCACAGAAAAAGTGATGAACCACATTAGATTCACAGAAAGAGAGCCAGAATGTGTCTCCAGTGTGGATGGAAGCATTCAGGAAACCAATGACATAAGAGCCAATGATCAGCCATGTACACACACGTGTAGTCATGGTGGTGGCGTAGTGTAGGGGTTTACATACTGCTGCATAGCGATCATAGGCCATTGATGCCAAGAGGTAATTTTCCACAGTACCAAAGGCTACAAAAAAGAACATCTGAGCAGCACAGTCATTGTAGGAAATGACCTTGTCTTCTATAAGAAAACCAGCCATAACTTTTGGAGTGACTGCTGAAGAGTAGCAAAAGTCCACCAGAGACAAGTTACCTAGAAAAAAATACATGGGAGTGTGAAGATGAGAGTCCAGGACAATCAGCAGAATCATCCCCAGGTTCCCTATGAGGGTGACAGTGTAGATGATGAGAAAGGTGAGGAAGAGTGAAAGCTGTAGGCTAGGGTCACTTGTGAGTCCCAGTAGGAGAAAGTGTGTCACTTCCGTCTTGTTCTTCATCATGTTCTACAATATCTGCAGTAATAAAAGTACAATATAATAAAGGAAATGTTAATGGAAAGTTACGAACAAAGTGTGTACTTTTTCTATTGTGGCTATATATATTCCCTTAATATTTTCCAAAAGAATGTACAAACTTGAAAAACAAACTAAATGTATCAAATGTATAGAGGGTTGCACAATATCAAATCTCGGCCATCTGTACAATTTTAACATTTTATCAATTTGTAAGCAGACAAAATGACAATTTACTAATTTGATGAAAATGATTAGTGTAGATGAACCTATTTAAAAGCTTATTTTTCTAATTACAATAAAAGCTGACACTTCCATTGGAGTACCTGTCAAAAATTTCTGTAGTCACATTGATTTTTGCCTGCACAATACCCTCTCAACCATGTTTCTTGTTACATTTTATAAATTATTAAGCACTTGAAGTGAGAAATTTATCCACACTGTTATGATCCTTAGTTGCAATCTCATCTCTATAACCATATGAATTTTTGATTCAGAATAAATTATTCCTAAGTAGGTCTGAGTAGATTCAAGTTAAATTAAATTTAAACCTTTGATTCAATTTTACTGAACTATTAACTAGTTCCATGTGTTATTCACAGCACTTTAAACTCACAGTGGAGGTAAAACCAAGCAGATAGAATCCTGAAGTATGACTTGCGTCCTCTTTTAATGACAACAATGCCAGCAATTAATTAATTATTTTTTAAGATTTTCTTTATTTCTTATGTATATAGTCTTCTGCCTGCATGTCAGCAGAGGGCACCATGTCTCATTACAGATGGTTGTGAGCCACCATGCAGTTGCTGGGAATTGAACTCAGGTCCTATGGAAGAACAGTCAGTGCTCTTAAGCGCTAAGCCATCTCTCCGGCCCTAATTAATTATTTTTTATAATTTATTTATTCTTTTAAATTTCATTTTAAAATCCAATCACAGTTTTTCCTCACACTTTTTCTCCCACTCCCTTCCTTGCCTCCCCCTACAGCCCACCCCTAGTCTACTCCTCCTCCCAGGTAAGGGCTCTCATGAGGAGTCAACAAAGGCTGACACAATAGATTGGGCAGGCCCATGCCCTTCTCCCATGCATTAAGCCTGAACATGGCATCTCACCATAGGGAATTTATGATTCCTATTTGACATGTAACCTTTTCCTGCACTAGCTCATGATTATTATCTCCTGCTCATTGATGCATACATATGTTTATAAACTGAAGTTAAAGATGAGTTCACCTATTGAATCATATACTATCCTAGGGCATTCTTAAAATGGGGAATTATTAGGGCAGGTTCAACTAACAGAGGCAACTCTAAGTTTTGTATATCTCTAGTTACGTGCAGCAGAGAATTCAGGTTCTTCAAACAGATGTTGCCACTTGTCTCCTAACATCATATTTCCATCAGAAAAATTCAGATTATTAATAATATCTACTTTATGTTAACATTGTTGTGATACTACATAAATAAATAAAAATAAAATAAGTTAGTATATAAAAGAAAGCCATTTTCAGTGTTTATCACAGGTGACAAAGTCTATCATGTTGTTATTAGGATGGGCCAATGGAAAGCATGTTTTGATCAAGGCCAATACTGGAAATGCAAAACTTCATTTGTCATGAGTGAAGAGTTGACATTTCCCTGCCCAATTTTCTGTATCTTAGACCCTGGTATCAGTTAGTGTCTACACCTTCCAGTATTTAGTTCTCTTTACTCCGAATGTACAGTTCCTACTTCTGTAATACCATCTGAGAAATTTATTTTGAAAAATTTCCTTCGTGAAATTTTGATTTTCATCTGGGCAAAAGAAACCAACACTGTTAATATCTAAATTTTCTTTCTGATTTTAATATTAAAGACTTCCTTTAAAGAATTAAATCAAAATGAAGACACAACATACTGATCGGTACATGCTGAAAAAGCCTTTGAGAAAATCCAACATCCCTTCATGACAAAGGTCTTGGAGAGATCAGGAATAACAGTAACATACCTAAACATGATAAAAGCAATATACAGCAAACCAACAGCCAACATCAAACTAAACAGAGAGAAACTCAAGGCTATTCCTCTAAAATCAAGAACAAGACAAGGCTGTCAACTCTCCCCATATCTCTTCAATATTGTACCTGAAGTTCTAGCTAGAGCAATAAGACAACAAAAGGAGATCAAGGGGATACAAATTGGAAAGGAAGAAGTCAAGATTTCACTATTTGCAGATGATATGATAGTTTACATAAGTGACCCGAAAACTCCACCATGGAACTCCTACAGCTGATAAACCCCCTCCCAAGTTGCAGGATAAAAGATTAACTCAAAAACATCAGTAGGGCTACTATATACAGAAGATAAATGCGCTGAAAAAGAAGTCAGAGAAACATCACCCTTTAAAATAGCAACTAACAACATAAAATATCTTGGGGTAACACTAACCAAAAATGTGAAAGGCCTGTATTATAAGAACTTTGAGTCTTTAAAGAAATAAATTAAAGAATATAGAAGAAATGGAAAGATCTCCCATGCTCTTGTCTAGATAGGATCAACATAGTAAAAATGGCAATCTTGCCAAAAGCAATCTAATGATTCAATGCAATCCCCATCAAAATCCCAACACAATTCTTCACAGACCTAGAAAGAATAGTACTCAACTTCATATGGAAAATCAAAAAGCCCAGGATAGCCAAAACAACCCTGTACAATAAAGAAACTTGTGGAGGCATCACCATCCCTGACTTCAAGCTCTATTACAGAGCCATAGTCCTGAAAACAGCTTGGTAATAGCACAAAAATAGACAGGTTGACCAATGGAATCGAATTGAAAACCCTGATATTAACCCACACACCTACGAACACCTGATTTTTGACAAAGAAGCTAAAGTTATACAATGGAAAAAAGAAAGAATCTTTAACAAATGGTAATGGCATAACTAGATTCAGACATGTTGAATATTGTAGATACATCCATATTTATCACCTTGCACAAAACTTAAGTCCAAATGGATCAAAGACCTCAAAATAAATTCAGCCACACTGAACCTCCCAGAAGAGAAGGTAGGTGGTACTCTTGCACAAATCGGTACAGGAGACCACTTTCTGAACACAACACCAGTAGCACAAACATTGAGATCAACAGTTAATAAATGGAACCGCCTGAAACTGAGAAGATTCTGTAAGGCAAAGGACACAGTCAGCAAGACAAAATGCAAGCCCACAGAATGGGAAATAGTATTCACCAACCCCACATCTGACAGAGGACTGATAACCAAAATATACAATGAACACAAGAACCTAGCCACCCAAACACCAAACAATGCAATTTAAAAGTGGAATGCAGAACTAAATGAGAATTCTCAACAGAGGAATCTAAGATGGCTGAAAGACACTTGAGACAGTTCTCAAAATCCTTAGCTGTCAGGGAAATGCAGCTCAAAATTACACTGAGATACCATTTTACTCTTGTCAGAATAGCTAAAATCAATAACACCAATGATAGTCTATGCTGGAGAGGCTGGAGAGGAGGTTGAGAAAGAGGAACACTCCTCCATTGCTGGTGGGAGTGAAAACTTGTACAACCACTTTGGAAATCAGTACAGCGTTTCTCAGGAAAAGGGGAATCAGTCTACCACAAGATCCAGCAATACCTCTCTTGGGCATATACCCAAAGAAGGCACATTCATACAATAAGGACATATGTTCAACTGTGTTCATAGCAGCATTATTTGTAATAGCCAGAACCTGGAAGCAACCTAGATGCCCCTCAACTGAAGAATGGATAGAGAAAATGTGGTACATTTGCACAATGGAGTACTACCCAGCAGAAAAAAAAAAACAATGGAATCTTGAAATTTGCAGGCAAATGGATAGAACTAGAAGAAACCATTCTGAGCGAGGTAACCCAATCACAAAAAGATAAACATGGTATGTACTTACTCCCATATGATTGTTAGACATGGGGCAAAGGATTACCAGTCTATAATCCACACTGCCAGAGGAGTTAGGAAACAAGGAGGATACCAAGAGAAGATTGCATAGTCCCTCAAAGAAGGGGAGGAGAATAAAATCTCCTGAGCAATGTGGGAGCCGGGGCGGGGAAAGGAAGGAAGTGGGAAAGAAAGAAAGGGAGGGGGGAGGAGGACAAGAGGACTGAGGCAGGGGAGGAATAGAGGAGCGCAAGTAAGGAGATGCCTTGATAGAGGGAGACAATACAAGTTTGGAGGGAGGTCTAGCACAGGGGAAATGTTAGGACACAGGCATTGGTAGAGAAGATACCATTGATGTCCTTCCCCTATAATAAGATAGATGTCTACCTTGGTTACTATTCCTAGAGCCTTCATCCAGTAGGTGTTCGAAGCAGAAACAGGTGCCCACAGCTAGGCACTGAACCACACTCCTGGAATCCAGTTGTGGAGAGGGAGGAGTGGTGAGCAAAGGAGCCAAGCCAGTGTTGCAGAAACAGACAGAAACAGTGACCTACTGAGAACATGAAGACCCTAGTCATAAAGCTGTGTAAACAACATTGGACTGAACCAAGCCCTCTAAATGTGGGTGCCAGCTAGGAGGCCAAGACAGTCTATGGAACCTCTAACAGTGGAGCCACTGTTTATCCTTAGAGCACAAATGGACTATGGTAGCCCATTCCCTATGGGAGGATAGTATTGCAGCCCAGATACAGCAATGAGGGCCTAGGCCCTCCCCCAAATGATATGACTGACTTTGAAGGTCCCCTGTGGAGGGCCTCACTATCCCTGGGTAGGAGTTGGGGGATGGGTTGGGGGGATTGCTGGGAAACATGAGAGGATGGGAGTGTGAGGAATGGGGGGATGGATAAGTAAACATGAGTAGTAATTAAAGAATAAAAAAGGAAAAAATTATTAGGTTGTGACTCCCACAAATCGGATTTTGTGGGAGTGAGCTATGTAACATATTTATTCTTTTATCAGTAAGGGAAGTGAGTATTAGAAGAACTATGTGCAGTTGGAAATTTATAGAAGCAGT